ATAAAAAAAAAATTTAAAGATTTCTTAATGCGTTACCCCGTATATATGATATAATTTGCAGCAATCCCAATTATATACATATATATATATATATATATAAAATTGAAGGTTCCAAAAATAATTTTTTTTTTTTTATAAACCACAAATCACATGCATCAAGTGAATAGAAAACTCCAAATCAATTCGTTATAAGAAAATAATAACATAATGGTACTCTGATTCAAACACCCAGGAAAACGACACATGCATGAATAGATTAGAAAATGCCAAAAAACCAAACCTTTTATACAGTCACAAATTACATACAAGAATTGATTACAAAATGCCAAAGACCAAACCAACACATGCATGAATAGATTAAGAATATATGTTAACATAAAACTGCTCTATTTCAAACGCCCAAAGAACGCAGACGGAAGTGGTTTTTTTTTTTTTTTGCAGACGGAAGTTTTTTTTTTTTTTTATAACCAATTTTCACAATCAAACCGCATGATATATATATATATATATATATATGCACTTATCTACCCACTGCCCATCTCAATTAGTTTACATTTCCAGAAAACAGATTACTATTTTAAAAAAAAAACAGAAAATACAGAATTTGCAGTAGTAAGAAAAATTCAGAATCTGCAAACCAGGAAACTAAATAGGATGAATAATAGCATATCAATTATGATAATACACATGATATAACCGCTCTGATACCACTTGTCAAATAAATTTTCAGAACATAAAACCTTAGAGTTTGGATCATGTATCATGTGTATTAGCAAGAAAACAAAATAAAAGCGTACTTGATTCCATCGTAATGGTTAAACGGAAGCGTGATTGTCAATAACACATTTTGTATTGCCTTTGTTATTGCCTTCCAATCCTTTCCTTATTAGTGCCTTTTGTTTCTCCTTGAGAGGATATCGAAGAAGTTGACAGTTCTTTTCTTATCAGGCAGGATTAGGGACCATAACAACTTAAAGTTAAAATAGGTTTTCAAAAAACAAAACTGTGTGGCAGTTTCTATGAAAACCAACTTAACCAATTTTGTTTTAATTTCTATTTCTGCCCCTCATAGAAATAGAAATTACTCAACTAGTATCTACATATTAGGTCCATGACACATATACCCTTAAGCCTATTAACTAAATTGAATCACTTAAATTGTAGGTTTCTTATAAATGATAACACCACATTTAAATATGTGGTCCCTTTGAGACATTATCTAACACTAAAACCTCAAGAATCAAAGAATACACCAATTTTCTTAAACCCCTTCCCCCCCCCTTAAAAAAAAAATTAATAAATAAAATCTATTTGATCAGAGAGATCTTCAAATGTGTATAAATCCATCAATTCACATATGCATAAATAATAAAATTCAAAACTTAAATTATGCAGCGAGATCTACCTTCTATATTAGAACCTAAAATCACTCAAAGCCATCTCCAATTCAATTCCTCAACTAGGTAGCTCCAAAAACAACACAGATTAAACTTAATTTACTGTACGTATACATCCAAATCCCCAGTATTCTAATAGATAATACCAACTGTATTACTATTTTTTTATTTATTTATCAGAATACTAGCTGTATTACTTACATTCAAAGATATTGCATATAACTTGCAAAAACATTTACTAAAATTTTCAATTGCATTTGTTGTAAGACATGTAAACTAACTCAAATTACAGATACCTATTTTAGGTGTCGTTTGGGAAGAGCTCATTTGGGCTCTTTTGGCTCTTTGAGCCACAAAAGATAGAATAGATTATTTGAGCCACAACAGACAAAACATCACATCCAACCCATAATCATTACACTTTTTTTTCACAAAAAAAGTCAAAAGAACCAAAAAGCCCTTCCCAAACCAAGCTTTTGAGCCTAGTCTCAAATAGCCAAAAAAGCCAAAAAGCCAACCCACTTATAGAGAGAGAGAGAGAGAGAGAGAGAGCCTGAAAAGCTGGGAATTACAAGAAAGCTACTTTAATGTGGGTTGAATACACCAGTGCTGCGGCTTTAACTCTTCTTCTACCTCCATCGCCCATTGATGGGTCTTCTATGAAAATCATTGATGGGTCTTTGTGCCATGGTTGTAAAAGAGAGCAAGAGGTGAATGTCATCGATGGGTCTTGCAATGGTTTAGACAAAATGGGTTATTGTGACAAGGGATCATCAGATCTACATTTCCCTCTTCCCTCTTTGTCTTTCGTCTCGTTATGTTATTATGAGAATGCTCGTATGGACATGAGGAAGGCAAAGGGAGAAGAGAGCATTGTCGCGAGGGAGGGAGGGAGGGAGGGAGAGAGAGAAGAGACAGAGTGGAGGGTTTAATTTCACCGTTGGGAGAGAGAGAGAGAGAGAAAGAAGGTTGTTGGCGGTGAGGAAGAGAAAGCCGGAGGACACCTCTAAGATTGACATTGCCGTGGGTCTAGTGAATTTGCCTTCGACAGTTGGAGGTGGTGAAGTTGAAGGTTGGTGGCAATGGAGAATTTGAGGAGGAAGATGGAGAAGATAGAAATTAGGTGTAGTGGAGGGGAAACACGGAAGTAAAGGAGATGAACGCCTATTTTAGAAAGGGGGTTATAATTCACTTCTTAGATTATAATCCACTTTTTAGATTATAATTTATTTTTTTTTCACAAAAAAAGTTATTTATAAACTATGTATAAGCAGCTTTTCATCAAAAAATTGATTATAATCATCATTTTAAAATAGTCCGAAGATAAGGTAAGTAATTATCAAATAGAATGAGTTGCATAATAAGATTGCATGAGGAAGTGAACAAATAGTCATTTCATCTTTTCGCACTTAAATGAAGGGACAATATAGTTATTTTGTATAGGAAAATAATATCGTTTGTGCCAAATTGACAGAATCTTGATGTTATCAATTAAAGTAGGAGAGATTTTTGTAATTATTAAAATCACAGGAGAGATCTCTATATTTGTCAGAAACTTCAGAGGAGGTAAGTTAAATTTATCCTATTTTTTTATTAACAATTCACGATTCGTATGGATAGAAAAAATGATATTATCATATGTTTTTGGGTGAATTACACTAACAGTCTCTATAGTTTGGGGCTTGTGTTACTTTGATCCTTAACTTTTCAATTGTGACATATTTAATCCTGAATTTTGAATCTTGTTCCAAATAAGGACAATTGAATATACCATTGCTTAATTTCAATGGAAAAATTGTCAATTTAACAAAATATAAACTAATTTGACAAAAATAAATGTCAAAAAAATATTTTTAAAAATTATTTCTACCTACAAAAGATAAAATTATGTAAAATTAATAAATGTTTTAGACATTTTATTTATTTATTTTTTACTAAATTAATTTTTATTATGTGTTTGGATGATGATTACGTAATGGATGGTTGTTAAGATTTTAATGTGTAATCGATATATTTATTATATGAAATATTTTTAGTTTTAGATTTTTTGATTTAATGGATTAGTTTAATAATGATATCAAAGTTGTCGCCATATTTGACTTTTGAAAAAATAGAAACTAATTTAATGAAAATGAAAACAAATAGCTATTATATGATTATTATCCAAACACATAATAAAAATTAATTTGATAAAAAAAATAAATGTCTAAAAGATTTATCAATTTTACATAATTTTATCTTTAGTGGGTAGAAATAATTTTTAATTAAAAATATTTTTTTAACATTTATTTTTGTCAAATTAGTTTATATTTTATCAAATTGACGATTTTGCCATTGAAATTAAGCAATGGTATATTCAATTGTCCTTGTTTGGAATAAAATTTAAAATTCAAGGTCAAATGTGTTATTATTGAAAAGTCAAAGACTAAAATAACACAAGTCCGAAACTATAGAGACCGTTAGTGTAATTTTCCCTATATTTTTTACTAAAATATATATTTAATTTTATTAAAAAGAGAAGCTCAATATAATTATATCATATTTTGGAATGAATTGTATTTTTTGTTTTTTCAAATCTGTGAGTGTAATTTATTTATGGGTAAATTACATTTTGTATCTATACACTTTATCCCAAATCTCACTATGGTCTCTACACATGAAATCGTGATATCCTTTGCAATTTAGGTCAAAATCCCACTTTAGTCCTATACAAGTGTTATTGTCATCATTCTGTTACTCTATTATTTAAATCTTTAACAGAATCTAGTCATATGACAAGAATGTGACTACAAAATGAGGGTGAAAGAGGAAAATCATTCCCATTTTCTACCAATACACACTTGGTCTCAAAAATTTACATCAAATATGACTGTATCAGGTTAAAACAAACGCAAATTGTGAGTGATTAAGAAGATGAATTAAGATTTTGCATAAATTGAAATGACGATACTCTATTTTTCACAGTAACACAGTTTTCTATTTATTTCTCTTCCTTTATCTTCAATTTCGCTACTGTCTTCTTTTTTATATTTATTTTTTATTTAAAAATTTATATTTTCTTGCTTTTTCGTTTTAATTTTCACCATACATATATATATTGTATTTTATAATTCTAACGTGCTTATCATATATGATAAAATAAATATTGGTGTAAAATACGAATGATTATCGACTATTACTCTCATTTGTAATTATATTCTTATTACATAACTGCATTTTGTTAAAGAATTATATAATAGAGTAAGAGAAGGGGACATTGGCACTTTATTAACTAACTAAAGTAGGAAGTAAAAATTAAATAAAAGGGCAAATTACATATACCCCTCGAGGTTTGACTAAATTACAGATACTCTTGAGGTTTGAGAAATTACGAATTCCCCCTGAATGCTATATTTGCATAAGAAATTAGGGGGTAATTTGTTATGAAATATAAACCTCAGGGGCAAATTGTTATGAAAATACAAACTTCAGGGGCGGAATGTAATTTTCGAAACCTCAGAGGTATCTATAATTTAGCCAAATCTCGAGAGGTATATGTAATTTGCACTAAATAAAAGTATCGACATTGGCCAAAGTAAGATTTGGCGTGAAGTGCAGGCCAAAGATTTGGGTAAAGTGCAGGATGGAAGGTGTAATTTACCTGTATTTATTTTGCGGCATTTGAATGAAGCGTCTAGGGTTAGGGCTTTTATTTCAGCATCCGTCACTCCGACGTTGAAGCAGCAGCAGCAGCAGCAGCAGCGGGAGGAGGAGAAGAAGATGATAGAGGTGGTGTTGAACGACCGACTGGGGAAGAAGGTGAGGGTGAAGTGCAACGAAGACGACACCATCGGAGACCTCAAGAAGCTCGTGGCCGCTCAGACCGGCACTCGTGCTGACAAGATCAGGATCCAGAAATGGTACAACGTCTACAAGGACCATATTACTCTCAAGGACTACGAGATTCACGACGGCATGGGCCTCGAACTCTACTACAACTAGGTCTGCTATTTCTCTCCTTTCACTTTCTTTCTACTTGTTTTTAATTCGTGTTTGCTCAAACTGATTGTGGACTATCTCAACAAGAACGAAAGTAATACTGATTGATTGTTATTTTGACAATTGATGTGCATGATTATGTTTATGGGTTTCTGGTATAGTTAAAGGAACAACAATCCAGCACAACTATAGACTTATTGAGAAACTGAGGAGGACATTTACTTAGGCTCTGTTTGTTTGGCCGGAAATTCCACATTTTCTACCGTTTGGTACAACGGAAAACAAAAGTAATACGGAAAACATTTTCTATGGTCAATGAAAAATAAGTCTATTTGAGTGAAAAATATTTTTCACTTTCAAAGGGTAGAAAACATTTTCCAAACTAAAGTTTTAGCGGTACCACCACATTACCACCACCACCACCACCACGCCACCACCTCTACCGCCCCACAACCACCGCCACTACCATCTCTGCCTTATTATACGACCGCCACCACTACCGCCACCACTATCGCGTTGCCACACCCAACACCTCCATTTTCACTCCACCCTAATGCAACTATTAGTACATTAATCTTAAAAATACAACCAAACAAAAGAAAATATGCCGCCGCCGCCGCCACAACCACTAATGCAACCATTAATAAATTAATTTAAAAAACGCAACCAAACATGAGAAAACCTTCTTTTGTGGAAACTATTTTCTGGAAAAAGTTTTCTATAGAAAATGTTTTTTGTCCAAATAAACGGAGCGTTAGTTATTACCAAAATTATTGAGAAATTAAGAAGGAAATTTACTCTGTTTTATTCTCTATCATGTGATATACAAGAGCTGATTTTATTATTACTAGAAGGGTGCACACACTACGTGTGTAACATATTATTATTCAAATTTGAAAGTAAACCTGCAAATTTGATTTTCAAAATTTGAAACTGCTATGACAGTTAAATTGCCATGAAGAACATAGGGGATTATTTTTTTAATTAGTCAATTTCCACCTGGCAAAAACTTGAGAAGACCAAATTTAGGGCTCACTTAATATAATAGTATAGATTATTGTCATGGTAAAAGCTTCTTATTTTCACTAATCAAAAGAAAGACAAAAAATTATATCAGATTTTTTTAGGAATGATTTTATGTATAGGAAAAATCTACTTTACTCCTCTTTTAAAAATAGCCAAATACCTAGGTGGTTTTGGACTAAATTGCACAACGCTAACTTTGTTAACTTTAATTGCAAAAAGATGTTTATGCCCTTGTTCTTCCATTACCAGCTCCATTTGACCCATTTCTTTCTCTAAAATCAAGCCATCTCTAAAAATTAAACTCAATTTATCTTCTTCTCCCTTATTATGGAACAACAATAAGGCCAATGATGCTTTATGGGACAAACAGTTAGACAACTAAGATACAACACATATATAAAATGAGTGTAGCTATGATGATGATGATGCTTAGGTAGATGTGTGGTAAGATTAGGAAAGATAGAATTAGAAATGAATATATTAGTAAATTGATTGGATTAATACAAATTGAAGATAAGTTGAGAATTGGTCGTGTACAAGACCAATAGATGTAATAGTAAGGAAAAGTGATATGATCACCATAAATGCATATGCTAGGAGAAGGGAAATACCTAAATTGACATAGGATGCGGTAGTAAAAAAAAGGTATGAATTTTGTTAACTAGTGTTGTTAAAAGCGTGCCTAGGCGCAAGGCTCATCGAGGCGCAGCCTGTGCGACTGAACTGGTCCCAGGCGAGGCGCGTTGAAGAAGTCACGCGCCTTAGTCGCGACTGGAAGCAGGTGAGAGAGGCGCAAGGCTCGCGCCTAGGCGCGACTGTTGTTTACGCCCTAATCTGCCTTCTTCTTCGACTTCGATCGACTCTCTCTCTCTCTCCCCTTCTACCTTCTTCGACTGGCTTCTTCGACTTCGATCGACTCTATCTCCCCTTCTGCCTTTTTCGACTGGTTTCTTCGACTTCGTTCGACTCTCTCTCTCCCCTTCTGCCTTCTTCGACTTCGATCGACTCTCTCTCTCCCTTTTTGCCTTCTTCGACTTCGATCGACTCTCTCTCTCTCCCCTTCTGCCTTCTTCGACTGCCTTCTTCGACTTCGATCGTCTCTCTCTCTCCCTCCTTCGATCTCAATCGTCTGATCTGATGGTCATTTTATTTTATTTTTTCTTCTTATTCTTCTCTCCTTCTTCTTCTCTCTTCTTCGCTGATCAGTCTGCTCTGCTCTGCTCTGCTCTGCTCTTTTTTTTTTTCTCAATTATTTATGGTCTCTGTTACAAAATAAATTGCAAAATAAATTATATTTTTTTCAATTACAAAATAAATTGGTCTCTGTTAAAGAAATACAAAATAATTTTTTTTTTACAAATAATAAATTAACACACTGCTATTGGTCTTTGTTTTTTTTACATTACATTATTTTCTAAATTGACACATTACATTACATTAATTATTTTTTAAATTGACACATTACATTACATTATTTTCCATTACATTACATTACACGGAGTGTAATTTTTCATTACATTATTTTCCATTACATTGTATTAATTAATTTTTCATTAATTAATACATTATGCTAATGTGTAATTTTCCATTACACCTTATTTTCCATTACATTACACAATGATTAGTCTATGTTAATTTTTTTATTTTTTACTAAGACTGTGCACCTTATTTTAAAAAAGCCCGCGCCTCGCCTTGTGCCTTGCGCCTAGGCCCCGAGAGACCTTCAGCGCCTTAGTGCACCTTGAGTTTTTAAAAACACTGATGTTAACTAACTGAGCATTAAGCCCTTGATAGAGCAAAATGGTGGAAAAGAATTCATATAGCAAACATCACTTGAGTGGGACACAAAGCTTATTTTGGTTTGGTATGAGTTGTGCATTAACTATTTGTAACTTGCATATTATGACTTTTAAGGGAGGATTTTTGAGCTATATTCTCAATTTTTGAGGATGGAATCATGTAAGGTGATTAGTTTCTATGATTTTCTTGCATTTCAAACTTTTTTTTAGTGAACTTTTAAGAATGGTTAATACATGTACTAGCAACCGGGCACACGCGATGCCTGTTCAAACTCATAAAATAAATATAAGTTTGAAATAGTGCATTAAAAAAATTGAATATATAGATTAAAAGAAAAAACAAATTGAATGTAAAAATAATTTTCACTAAACTCAATATTCTTAACTAAATATAATTTTAAAAAAAAAATTGAATATATAAATAATTAAACACTAATTCAAACATTTTGCAATCAAAAAGATTTAATAAACATGAAAAAAATAAATAAATTAATTAAAAACTAAATAATAAAAGATTTTCTTGCATTCCAAACTTTTTTTTAGTGAACTTTTAAGAATGCTTAATACATGTACTAGCAACCGGGCACACGCGATGCCTGTGCAAACTCATAAAATAAATATAAGTTTGAAATAGTGCATTAAAAAAATTGAATATATAGATTAAAAGAAAAAACAAATTGAATGTAAAAATAATTTTCACTAAACTCAATATTCTTAACTGAATATAATTTTTTTTAAAAAATTGAATATATAAATAATTAAACACTAATTCAAACATTTTGCAATCAAAAAGATTTAATAAACATGAAATAAATAAATAAATTAATTAAAAACTAAATAATAATAAAAAAAACTCAAAGATAATTCAAAAACATATGATTGTGTATATATATCCTACAAAACGTGAAGATAATGCAAAAGTATATGAGTTTGTGTGTATATATAACATATCAAACCTTGAAATTGAAATTTTTTTTTGAATTTCTATTTCTTTTTCCTTCTTTTTTTTTGTTTGTTTTTGTTTTGTTTTTGTTTCTAAAATAAGTAACTTTCAAAATATATATGAGCGTGTTTATATATCTTATCAAACATTGAAATTCAAAAAAAAAATCTGAATATCATTTCTTCCTCATTCTTTTTTCTAAAATAAGTAAACTTTCAGAAAAATATTTTTAACTTACTATTCTCAGTTATCCAAGAATTAAGGGAATGTTTTGTTTTTTAATATTATTATTGTTAGGGGAATTTTTTTTAAGGTCTCTGATATTAAGATTTTATAAGATAAGGGACGTACAATATTTTTATAGTAGTTAAGGTCTCTCAACATTTTTACAGAGAAAATTTGACTCAGAGAAATTTTGCTCCAGAGAAATTCTTTGAGTCAAGTAAAATTTCTCTAAGTCGGGCAAAATTTTTCTGAGTCAAATTTTCTCTGCGAAAATGTTGAGGGGCCTTAGCTAATAAAAAAAATATCTTGGACCTCTCCTACTACACAATTTCTCTATATAACACAAATTTTCCCATTTCTTCCCTTGAATCATACGCTTCTCATCGCTTCCCTTGTCTGCATAATGTAGCTCCAAAAGTGATGGAAACTAATTGGGGGTGGGGAAGGGAGAAGTTGCGACGATGGTGGTGGGGGAGGGATGAGCTGCGATGGCAAGGTGGGAGAGGGGAGGGCTTGTGAGGATGGTGGTGGGGTAAAGGCGGGGCTGTGACGATGTGGGTGGGAGAGCGGAGGGGTGGTTTGTGAGAAAAACAGTGGGAAAGGAGAGGAGCTGTGACAAAGGGAATGTGGGAGGGAGTTGTCAGAATGGCAGTGCAGAGGGGTAGGTGAAGTGCTGCGACAACGAAGGGGTAGGGGAGGCGAGGGAATGGGTTGCACATGTATGCGAGAGGCTGGATTGCTAAAGGCTGAAAATGTGAATGATTAGGGAGGTGAGGTGCTGAATTAGTTGTTGGGGTTTCTTGCTAATCATATTCGATTTTGCTTGGAAAGTGTGTATGTTTCTTGCAACCATGTCGTAAGTTGTTTATTGTATCTTGGTCATGGAAATATATGGCAGTGGAGACGTGATTGCAAAGGTATTGGTGGTTTTGGGTGGTAGTGATGGAGGTGATGGTGGTTTTTGTAGTAGTGATGGTGGTGAGATGAGAGAGAAGGATGAAAGAGAGGAG